CCACCCAGCCGCGCCCGAGCCAGCCCCGCGGCAGGAAACGATGAAGGGGGACACCAGACACCTCAGTGAAGAGGAGGGCGCCAGCGGGAGGGAGGACTCCATCATTCTCATCAACGGGGCCAGTAGTGACCAGTCCTCCAACTCCAAGGACGCCCCTTCGCCCCCCATCCTGGAGGCTATCCGCTCGCCCGAGATCAGAGGCCGCAGATCCAACTCCCGCCTGTCCAAGAGGGAGGTCTCCAGCCTAATCAGCTACACTCAGGATCTGACAGGGGAAGCAGATGGTGAAGGAGAAGATGGGGACAGCTCCGAGGCTCCTGTGATGCCAAGACTATTCCGGGGAAACCAGGACCCGCTCTGCAAGCCCAGCAGTCCGCACCCGAAATAGCAACAACAGTGCCTCCAAGTCCTTCACACGTCCCACGCGAGGCCGCCAGGGCCGCAGTCACGTGGACGAGTCTCCCGTGGAGTTCCCGGCTACCAGGTCCCTAAGGCGGCGGTCAACAGTCTCGCCAGGTACGCCGTGGCCATCCCCGTCCACTGCTTACCTCACCATCGACCTCACGGAGGAGGATGTGACACCACAGAGCAGCAGTACCCCCTGTGCCAGCCTAGCTGAGAGCCAGCAGGAGAACTCGGAGACCTCCCAGGTGGACGCAGAGGGGAGAGACTCCGACAACACTGAGTACCAGGATGGGAAGGAGTTTGGAATAGGGGACCTGGTATGGGGCAAGATCGAGGGCTTCTCCTGGTGGCCTGCCATGGTGGTTTCTTGGAAGGTTACCTCCAAGCGCCAGGCCATGTCCGGCATGCGATGGGTCCAGTGGTTTGGTGATGGCAAGTTCTCTGAGGTCTCTGCAGACAAACTGGTGGCCTTGGGGCTGTTCAGTCAGCATTTTAACCAGGCCACCTTCAATAAACTGGTGTCATACAGGAAGGCCATGTACCAGGCCCTGGAGAAAGCCAGGGTACGAGCTGGCAAGACCTTCCCCAGCAGCCCTGGAGACTCTTTGGAGGACCAGCTGAAGCCCATGTTGGAGTGGGCCCACGGGGGCTTCAAGCCCACTGAGATCGAGGGCCTCAAACCTAACAACAACCAACCAGTGGTTAATAAATCGAAGGTGCGTCGGGCACGCAGTAGGAACTTAGAATCAAGGAAACACGAGAACAAGAGTCGAAGACGCACAGTTGATGATTCAGCCGCCTCTGACCACTGTCCCCCAAACAAACGCCTCAAGACAAACTGCTATAACAATGGCAAGGACCGGGGAGAGGAAGATCAGAGCCGAGAACAAATGGTTTCTGATGTTACCAACAACAAGAACAATCTGGAAGATAGCTGTTTGTCCTGTGGTAGGAAAAACCCAGTGTCCTTCCACCCGCTCTTTGAGGGTGGGCTTTGCCAGACATGCCAGGATCGCTTCTTTGAGCTCTTCTACATGTACCACGATGATGGTTACCAATCCTACTGTACCGTGTGCTGTGGGGGCCATGAGCTGCTTCTCTGCAGCAATGCAAGCTGTTGCCGATGCTTCTGTGTGGAGTGTCTGGAGGTGCTGGTGGGCAAGGGCACAGCGGAGGATGCCAAGCTGCAGGAGCCCTGGAGCTGCTACATGTGTCTCCCCCAGCGCTGCCACGGAGTCCTGCGGGGCCAGAAGGACTGGAATGTCCGCCTGCAGACCTTCTTCACCAGCGACATGGGGCTCAAATACAAGGCCCCCAAGTTGTACTCTGCGATTCCCGCAGCCAAAAGGCGGCCCATTTGAGTCCTGTCACTATTCGATGGGATTGCCACAGGTTACTTGGTCCTCAAAGACTTGGGCATTAAAGTGGAAAAGTATGTTGCCTCGGAAGTGTGCGAAGAATCCATCGCTGTTGGAACCGTGAAGCACGAGGGCAACATCAAATATATGAATGACGTTAGGAACATCACAAAGAAAAATATTGAAGAGTGGGGTCCATTTGATTTGGTGATCGGTGGAAGCCCATGCAATGACCTATCAAATGTGAATCCTGCCCGGAAAGGCCTGTATGAGGGCACTGGCCGACTCTTCTTCGAATTCTACCACCTGCTCAATTACTCACGCCCCAAAGAAGGGGATGACCAGCCGTTCTTCTGGATGTTTGAGAATGTTGTAGCCATGAAGGTCGACGACAAGAGGGACATGTCATGGTTCCTGGAGTGCAACCCAGTGATGATTGATGCTATCAAAATTTCTGCTGCTCACAGGGCTCCATACTTCTGGGGAAACCTACCTGGGATGAACAGGCCTGTGATAGCATCAAAGAATGATAAGCTCCAGCTGCAGGACTGCTTGGAATTCAGTAGGACTGCAAAGTTAAAGAAAGTGCAGACAATAACCACCAAGTCCAACTCCATCAAACAGGGGGAAAACCAACTTTTCCCTGTTGTCATGAATGGCAAAGAAGATGTTTTGTGGTGCACTGAGCTCGAAAGGATCTTCGGTTTTCCTGTGCACTACACGGATATGTCCAACATGGGCCACGGTGCCCGCCAGAAGCTGCTTGGGCGGTCCTGGAGTGTGCCCGTCATTCGACATCTCTTCCCCGCCCCCCCAAGGA